AAAAGATATTTTCTACTTTTCTCTCTCCGACAGTTGTGTCCGCTCTTCTGAGCCATCTAACAAGAGTTCTGAACTACAAGCACGCTTCAAAGAACCGTACACTGTCTTTTTCGATGGGAGCATTCTCGTATGTTAAGAGAGAGGTTCGACCGGGCAACTCTTTCTTTTCCGAACTTTTCAGCGCTCACTCTCGAAAACGTCATGCGTCAACTGGAATGGGAAGACATGGGAGTGAAGGTCGACGGCCGGCAACTACACCACCTTCGTTTTGCTGACGACATCGTTCTTATAACGCCGAACATCGAGCAAGCGGAGCGAATGCTGGCTGATTTCGACTGCGCCTGTGGTAAGGTTGGTCTGCAGCTGAACCTAACGAAGACGATGTTTATGAGGAAACGGATTGGTTCCTGATGCCCCATTCACGCTCAACGGAACGAAACGCACCGGAATGCTCCAGTCACGTGTACTTACTTCGGAAAATTAACACGATGAACAACCTAGCTCCAGAGCTTAGCAAGAGGCGAGCGGCACGTGTATAAGGGCCTTGGAGAAAAGTGAAGAAGTCAAAGTAGGACCAGTTCTGCGCGCCTGTCTCTTTCATTCTGTGGGACTTGTATTAAGCCTCAGAGAACTGGGTTGAATTGTGCACAGTTGGAATGTTTAAGTGCAGAGAGGAATTTGCAGTGTTCCAAATTTTGTCAACGTTTAAAGATCAACGTCGCAACCGCATTTACCCGAAAAGCGAGAATCAGACGGGTTGGATACGTTTAATGTTTCTGCGATAAACGTGTTATGGCATTATTGGATCCCACGTGTTATCAAAGATATGTCCTTCCTGCCCTAACCTACGCCTCAGAGACTTGGACTCTGCGCAGGCAGGACGAGCATGCGGTCAGCGTTATCCAACGCGCTGTCGAGAGGACGATGCTAGGAGTAACCCTATACACGCAAGTGCAGAGGGGAATCCGGAGTGCCGAACTACGCCAACGATCGAAGATCAGGGACGCTGCCGTTTTCGCCAAGGAATCGAAGATAAGGTGGGCCGGACACGTCATGCGATTTTGCGATGACCGTTGGACCAGAGCGGTTACCGACTGGATCCCTCGGGACGTCAAACGAACACCTGGACGACCGCCGGCCCGATGGTCAGACTTCTTCACGAAAGCTCTGAACGAAAGGAATGAAGGACATCGTGTCCCTCGAGCGAGGAGGGTCCACTGGACAACTCTTGCACGCGACAGGGACGAATGGAGACGTTGCTGGCGCCCGCTCGAGCAATTCGATGATCAACGGGACGACAGGTGATACAGGTGATGTAAGCAGGTACATCAGTCAGATTTATTCCGCGAAAGCTCTGCACGAAAGATGCCAGGCTGCACGCAGCAAAGCGTCAACGTTGTCCATTTTCGGTCTGAACACTTCTTGAGAACAGAGATAAAATTGAGCGTGAAACGAGAATAAAAAGTCAGCTGTCTCCTTAAATCTCGCCATGAAAGAAAATTGCTTAATCTTTTTTTCAATGAGAAGAAATAAGATTTTAATTGACCGCTCCCACTGTCATGAGAGTGTGAAGTCATCTGTCATAGCTAACACTCTTAAAGAAGGTGCAGTTATCGTTCCGGCTAAGCGGCAGGATAGTTTCTCGATTGAGCTTCTGCTTAAGGCTTTCGTGTAGTGTTTCACAGGCCTGCTGCCCAAGACAACTGCCACATGATTGCGGCATTGGCCATGCATACGCGCTTGTTATTTGATTTGTTTTTCGCGACTGACTTGAGGCAAACTTCCGTGGGGAACTGTTTAGAAGGATTTTGAAGAATCAATAGTTCAATTGTTGGCTCCAATGTAAGTACAGTAAACATCTTTTGCGTCACCCTGTGCGATGTAACTTTTGCTGGTGCTCCTCATGAGCAAGAGACTTTCCGTTACACTGACACACCGTCCTCAGGGTGCGCTGGACCAATAATGAGCACTTTTATCGCGTCAAAGGCACTATCAAATGCATTTTTGTATATTGTGACGAGACGCTGCATCTCATTTTTACTGGTCGGTCGTAGTCCACCGTGCCTTCTTAAGCATAGCAAAGACCAACTCAGTCTTTTACATCATCATCTAGCATCACCCCTAGCTACAAAGCGTCTCATGATGAATACAGCTCCCCAAGAGCTAAAAAAACTCGGATTGAGATATTTCCGAGAAGAATTCAAACAGAAAATGTGTCAAATACAAACGCGAGTTCAAACGATGCTAAATTCCAGCACGTTACTAAAAGATTGTTTCCGAGCCATTAGAGAAGTCGCTGTCGCCTGTCTTCGAATGATACAACCACCACATTTCTCCATTGCATTTCATTTTTCATATTGCATTTCATCTTTGCTGCATGGAACTGACAGCTACTAATTCTTATGTTATAGATTATGGTGGAAGGAAAATTGCTGTCGTAATTTTGAAAAGGTCTGCTCTTTTTCGAAATCCGACAGTGGTTTTTTTTGCGATAACCTGAAACAGAAGAGTTATTAGCTATCACAGAGTTTGAGCAAGCAGGAATGAAATGCAACAGAGATTAATGCGGTGGCTATATCGTATTGAGGCAAGAAAGCCAACTTTTTCTAAAATATCAAAAGGAAATTTTTCCGGTGTTTTCAGACTAGAATTTGGTGTAGTTTTTTTTTGAATTTGCATTTCCATTTGACACCTTTTTTTAGACTGTTAGACACATATTAGGTACGAAAAATATTTTTCAGGTGGTTGCATCATTAGGAGACACAGTGCATTGTCTTCGACTTACTCCCTTCATCAAGTTTCTGTCTGTTCAGGTTTCGATACTCTCGCGTCTGAGCAACGAAAACGCAGAGGAGTTCAATTTTGTGCGAGCCTTCGAATGCTTCCAGCACAAACATCATACCTGTCTTGTTTTCGAAATGCTCGAGCAGAACCTCTATGACTTTCTCAAGCAGAACAAATTCACTCCTCTCCCCCTTAATAGTATTCGTCCAATTGTACAGCAGGTATCTTGCCATTACTTGACGGCCGTCCTTCACTACATTGAAGTATGTTTTTCTTTTCAGGTTCTTACAGCCTTGCTCAAGCTGAAGTCGCTTGGCTTGATTCATGCTGATCTCAAGCCTGAAAATATTATGCTGGTCGATCCCACTAACCAGCCTTTCCGAGTAAAGGTGACTTAATTCTGAATAGCTTTTGAATTTACGATTTCTTGTAGAAATTTGAGCGAAGGTTGTATAGTAAGTGGAGCCACAAGTCGTGATGTTATATCTCGAATCTAGTGCCGCCCAGACCAGCCAATCCTTGCATGTTGCCTCGCAGAATCAACAATTATTCCGATCTTCTCTAAAAGATAATAATTTAAGACTTCGCAGCCTTTATCGCAATGTCTACCTAGCAATGATGGACGGTTATGAACTTTGTGCGGCTGCACTAATGGTGGTATGAGGTGCCCTATTATTCCCTAATCTATAGGCAGCATCAGTAATTCCGTTCTACATCAAACGATGTTCTTTTCAAGAGAATTTCAATTCAAATGCTTTACTTACCAAATGGTCGGGTCCATCATCCATTTTTGTTTCTCTGCGACAGTAACATTCAGTCGGCGTTGATCGATTCTACCTTGAGGTGGATGTCAGACTGGCGATTGTGCTCCCACGACAGCGGCAACAACAGCGCGCCCAACGCAAATCATACGAATCAATAACGACATGCACCACTCGGCAATTGTGCAGCGACGGCCACAACGCTACGATTGCACAGTCGCCGAGTCTGACATCCACCTGACCCCATCTACCCCCTACAAATACCACGCGCGGGCCCAGGCGGCACCGTCAGGTCTTTTCCACACACTCCTACAAATTGCTTCGGAAAACAAATGAGCGGGTCGACAGAAATGGATAAATGGCTCTAATCATTTCCTTTGCGCACCGCGCTCGACTACAATTAGGAGTTGTTGTGGTTACAAGCGATGTTGTTTGCGCGTCTGTGCTTTTGAGGCTTGCAGACTAGCTGGATGTGCAGGTCGCTATGGTCTTCGGACGGGAGTCTAGCCGAAGTATAGGCCTAGAGGGAGTAGTGGTTGGTAAGGCGTTGATCAAGAATTTTTATGCGCGTATATGGTAAGGCACCTTCTGTTCTTTACAGTACTTTGTTTTCATGATTGACACAGTAATTATGTTTTTATTTCGTGCTTTTCCATAGAGTGATCGACTATTTTGGATCAGCTAGTCACCGGAGTAAGGCTGTCACTAACACTTATCTTCAGAGTAGGTATTACAGGTGAGTAATATAGATGGTGTAAAGCCAGTATAAAATTTCATTCTCAATTCTATAATGATATCGGATCTATTTCATTTTGCTTCAAAACTAACACCGTTTTTCTCTCAACCTTCATGTGCATAAGCTTCGGTGCCTTTTTGACGTTATTCACAGGCCGAAACTGTGCTAACAAAATTGGCCGATGTCAGACTTTGCGATTGGAGCGATTGTGCACAAATTGCAGGAGCGACGGATCGCTTGAGCGATCCATCGCTGCGAGCGACGGGAGATTTACATGGCCGACCAACGATAATTCGGCGCCATCAGCTCGTAAATGTCCCGTCGCTCGCAGCTCCCTGCCACAACGGCCAAGGCACTTATCACGGCCCGAGCGATGGATCGCTCAAGCGATCCATCGCTCCAAAGTGCGAGCGACGGGAGATTTACGAGCTGAGTGGCGCCGAATTATCGTGGTTGGCGGTGTAAATCTCCCGTCGCTCCTGCAATTTGGTGCACAATCGCTCCAATCGCAAGTCGGACATCGGCCATATTAGAAATGTCGCCACGAATATTTCCGTTTAAGAGCACAGCAGATATCCTGGCGCTTGGGCTTTCCGGGAGCTTAGATATACTGGTCATGGGATGACTTTGTTTTTGGTTATAGCGGAACTGTTTTTCTTGGATGGCCCTATTATCGCAGGCGAGCAGTGATATGAAGATCAGAGGTACGTGGAATAAGCATTGCCTAAGTTGCTTCATAATCATCTGCCTTGTCTCAGCTTCGAGCTGCCGCTCTAATATGGCAATACTTTTGCAGTGACATTCTTCAAAGAAGTCTGACAAAAAATAGATCTAACGTGTGACCAACAACTCTCCACTCCAGTCTTTTGTGTGGACAACACCAATCGGCTTCACGAGATGAACGATTTTATTCAAACATACCCGTCCTTCGTAGGTGGTTGCAAAATATTAAAATCAAGTGGTAGAAAAACCTATCGTAGTGCGTGGAATGTGCCATTGAGCCCATCTCAAACCTTTCCAAGTGCATCCTGTAGACTCAGGTTTCGTAGGGTTGCAACTCTCACCCTACTTCTTTTGAAGTCGTTGAATATTTTGGACATCAGCAATCGCTACTAGTAGCAACTAATCAACTTTAGAGGTCTAAACTGTCTAGCTGAATCTGGGCTGAGATTTGACCCTTTGATCATGCGCATGCTAGCGACTACTCTTGCTCCTGACACCATCTCCGCGTGATTGAAAAATGCGAGGGTTAAACTAAGAATGGTTCCCTTTGCGTGTCCAAACTTTGCAACGAAGTTGGTAATCCACTATCGAAAAAATTATATGCGCGGAAATTATGCTTTGGATTCAATGCAGTGGCATGTGAAGCGAAACACTGCCCGGCATAGTTGTGTGGACCAGTGGTTCCTCAAACGCACGCTATGTCGTGTGGTCAAAATCTCTTTCAGTCAGGTCGACTGCTGTTGGAGAATGTCTTAAATGCATTTTTTGGGAACTCGCTCCCCATTGGCGGCCGCGTTATTGCTTGAGATATCGTAGATTCTTGCCGTCTCTTTTGTCAGTAAACAATACTCGATCATTAGTTTTACCAGTGCAATTTTTTATATTTTCTGTGCTCTGAAAGCTCATTGACGAGTTTGTAACTTAGAAAAACGCTAACTAAATCAAAAATGACTAACCCTTTCCTTGCGGCTGCGTGGTGCACATGTGCAACACGCGGTACGCATTGCGTTGAATGAAGCGAGTGTAAATTCTCCATAAGTTCTTGCCTGATATCAACACACACTCACTTGCAAAATTGATGGATCTGAGAGTTAACTGAGAGTTTTGAAAAATTAACTGAGAGTTTTGCTCATTTGCGATTAGCTGAATATTTTTAAGTGTGCTGGCTTTTTGATTGGGCCGTCTAGCAGTTGCAGCACTGTAAGTAGTGAGGCATGGGTCGGTGCTAACTTAGTTGGGGGGGGGCACGCGGCGGCGCGGCAGTCTGCTCGCCTGGCATGTTCGGAAATCCGTGGGCCAGGGGGAGTGTAGGCAGTCTAGGGGGGGGGGGGTGGGGGCAGTCACTTGACATGCGTGAAAAGCTGGAATGTTCGAGTTTACACTGTCTCGCTCGAGAGAACCTCAGGTGAGCAGAATGCCGCGCCGCCGCGTGCCCCCCAGACTAAACGTTAGCGCCGGCATTCGAGCGAACGATTCGAGATCCAGCATTGTTTGATGTCATTTTTGGATTTCAAGCTCTATAGTGTCGAGTTTGTCGAAATTTATTCTGCAGACGCTCCTCTTTCACAAAAGATTTTTCGGTCAAATTCTCTGCACAGCGGACCATCGTACTGAGCGCGTCCCACGTCCTTTTATCTTCATTCTAATTACTTTCGGATTTGGAAATTGCAAAATAAATTAGAAATTGTCCCTCCGGGGTTCGCGTGTTCGACAAAATGGCGCACGTTGTACATGTCAAATGTAAAAATGAAATGTGCCAAATTTATTGTGACGATGTAAAACCTTGGATTATTTGTTGCAGGTTCATTGTTCAAACACAAGGTCTGCCTCCAACAGAAATGCTCGAAAAGGCGGCGAAATTACATAGGTTTTTTAAGGAAATGAAGGTATCGATTTTAGTTTTTCGGAATTGCCTTTTGTTTATTAATATACGGCGGTTTGTGAAAATTGGTTTTGTGAAAAATTTCGTAAGATAGTGTTGCACATCATAGTTGCTAAGCATGAAGCTCTGTGGGCAGATTATTCATGCGCAGAGGAGAAGAGACTGTAAGCCGGCTGTCTATTAAAATTTATGGAAAATGATCCGCCTCTTGTCTAGGTCCTGCGTAGTTGACGCAAAAGAAAAATACTAGCCTCAATGTGGATACGAATTCCAGATATCCATGAATATGTGCCGTAGAGCGTAGTTAGACACACGCTTGATTTCTAGGGAAAAAAGTAGTCTGTGACCGCGACGGAAGGCGGTACGGTCTTTGAGAGATTTTGGCGCGACGGCCGCATGCCTTGCAAAATTTGAACCCGCTGAAATCTTTGTGTACCTGGCTGCCAGATCAAACTCCTTGTTGATAACTTCTATAGCCGCTAAAAGTTCAACAGGGCCTGAGTGTGGGATCAATAAAAGAAAACATCGCAGTCTATCGAGAGAATTTCCTTCATTTCCCTTCAAATTTGACGAGCTTCTCATATTCCTGGCTTTTTTCATTGAAAAAGGTTTTCCCAACTTCTATAGTATCTCGGTGATGCTCAGGACACCCGTCTGATTTGATCCTTTCGTAAAGCTTGCTTTGTTATCGAAGCCGCCCTTTCAGAGCAGAGGTGCGATGCTTGTGGTTGCTCTGTTGCTAGAAAATGAAGTCACTAACGTGCAGGTGTCGTGCTGTGAATACACTACATCTCTTAGACTACCTGTATACGTCCGCATTCGTCACTTCTCAAATCCTTTGCCATGGTCCTATTTCGTTTACGGATTATCAGGAGCGAGCCTTATTTTATGGATGGCAGTTTGATATTTTGAATCGAATCGATTTCCGTCAGGACGCCACAAATGCCTAGTGCCGTAGCCAAACATCCTATATTTACTCTTGCCGCTACAGATGGCTTTGGAGCTGTGCAGGGATCTGCGACGAGTACGCAGACTAATTTTACTCCCTCCCCTCCCCCCTCAACCAGCCCCCATATCATATACGCGGGTTTTACACTTCACAGATTGAGAGAAAGGTGGATAGAATAGCGGCTCAAGAGCAACATCAGAATTTGAGAAGTGATGAATAAACAGGCTCAAGAAGTGCATGCATTCTTAGAATTATGTTGTGGTATCCAGAGCGACATGGCCACATGCAGTAAGTAGTGAGCTGTTACCTAGCTAATAAAGAGCAGGCACGAAAGCTTTCGCTCGGGGCTTGCCGTACATGCTTTTAGAAGGGAATCATTCCAGATGGGTGTTGATTTTGACCGTATAGTGAACACTAACTGGAACGGTGAGGGAAACAGCTTTTGCAGAAAAAAAAGGGCCAGTGGGATGTGAAGTGAGAAACTTGATGTGATGAGAAAAATTGAAGGAGTTCCTTCAATGACTGTGGTCCGCTCACAATTCATGTTCAGGTCTAGTTAAGGTGGTTCGGATCTCGTGGCTGTCTTAAATGTTATCAACAATGTGCACATTCTCCAATGAGGTAAAAGAGATCGAATCTTGATCATTGCGATTTACCAGGCAATCGACGTGTTCTGTCGGAGTTCTAAACATTTCACAATAGAATAAAATTCACTTGGAATTTGGCCATACCTGGGAATTTCCAATGAAAAAGGTTTCTCGTTATTCCTCTTTTCCATTTCCGACCTCTGCTCCTCTAATCCCTGCCGATATTCCCAAGATCTTTGGGTCGTATCTACGGAAGCGATCATGAGGCTCGTTTTAGAGCCCACATCGGCACATTATCGCCCAAGATCACTGCCATTCCTCCTTTGCTAGTTTCATTACACTTAATCGTTCTCAGGGTTCATATTTTCTGAGAGGGGGAGGAGGGAGCGAGGAAAGGTACTAAAAGCCTTCCTTCAGGATAATCATTCGGAGATAATGAACAGCATATACATTATATAGATTGACTTTGGTTTTTGAATTTGTAATCGATGGTGTGGCATACCGCTCATTACTTATGGGATGGGCCAATACCGAGTGTCTGAAATCACGTCTGATACTATAAATATTACTGTAAATGACCACATCGACTTACGGTTCTTCCCTCTGAGCTCAGTGTTGCAGGCCGATATGTCGGGTCCAGTCCAACCGACTTACTACCGAATGAAGACTGTAGAAGAGTACGAGGCCTCCGGTGTTCATGTCAAGTCCAAGGAGACGAGAAAGTACATCTTCACATTCCTAGATGATATTAGTCGGGTGAGTAGTTTATATCAAATTAGCGATTTGGAACTTTGATAGGTTCTCCTTCATTACAGTTGCAGTATTGTTAATTATTTCCGAGAAATAACTGTCGTATTCTCTTTACTGTATCACTTTACTTCGTACTTATTACTTTTTTATTTCCTTTATCTTTACCCCTCCTTTACTTGTAGTAGTACGGGATCGGCTGATTCTTTTAGAATGTCACTTGCCCGATTACGCTCTGCGTTGTAGAATCCAACACTTTGCCCCGCATAACCATACCTCCAGCTAGCTATCTCCCAAAAACTGGCATTCAACTTTTTAAAATTCATGTCTCTGGAAATGACTTCAATGTGAAAGTGTGGTGCAAGGATGAACATCAACATCAAGTTGCGATTTGAAACTGCAACTTTTTGTACCTGTTAAAAACATCATACCATGTTCTGGGAGATTGGTACCAGGAAGTCTCTTCATGCGAAGCACTGTATTGGGTCCTACAATGCAGAGGGTAATCTCACAATATCAGCTCTTGTTGTACACCTTTGTGGATTTGTTCCCAAATGTTGTAAGATTGTTCCAAGAATATCGCATTTCCCAGTGGGATATTTATTTATTGCTCTTACACTCGATCAGAGGTGACTTAGCCGCAAATGGTACCATGCAACGCACAAGAGAACTTTCTGGTAGTGATCTCATATCCATTCTCTCCTAGGTCAGGCTGCCCTTCAAGCTCGGCTAGTAATAACTCAAAAGTCATTGAAGCAACAGTCCCAGCAGGGTTTTTACCTTCGACACTAATGGTGTGGAACGATGCGCTAGCCCTAGTCAAGAACATAAGAAGTGTGACTGAACAAAAACACCTTGGAAAGCCGCTAGAAAGGGAGCTGAACGGCTTCGAAGTGGGCGTGGTTGGAAGAATCGGCCGAGGGAATTGCAGCCGACTGAGCAACCACGCCCACTTCGAAGGCTCCCTTTCTAGCGGCTTTCCAAGGTGAGTTTTTTGTTCAGTCACACTTCTTATGTTCTTGACTAGGGCTAGCGCATCGTTCCACACCATTAGTGTCGAAGGTAAAAACCCTGCTGGGACTGTTGCTTTAATGGGTAACAGATTTGTCGTGAAGAAGGCAGTGTTTAGGCTCCTATCGCATACGAATCCTACTGCGATTCTGAAGAGAAGTGGCTGGGGAATTCAATAAAAATTTCTGCCATCAATACTGACACGGCACAGAGATATCAAATATGTATATGTTAGATGAGTTAATATAGCTATTTTCAGGTGTGTTATGGTTTTGAATCTGATCCTATCGAGCAGATCTGTGACCGGCTAGACCGTCAAGAATTCGTTGAGATCTTGAAAAAAATGCTGGTACTCAATCAGGACTTTCGCCTAACGCCTTTGGAAGGCCTTGAACACAAATTTGTTACAATGAGCCATCTCCACGCATATGCCAATACCAATTAGTGAGTTATGCAGAGCAATTTAAGTGTTTGTTTGTCTTGGCTGTACCGGAAATTTTCTGGTAGGAACCACGGGAACAGAAAACCACTTGAATCGTTTCAGTTTTCGCACTGGTATGAAAAGGATGGAGGTATGTGTACGGCGTCCAACAACTGTCGTGAATTCTTCCGCTCAGCTTTTCCGTGGTGGAGCTTCAGCGACCCCGATTGCACAAAGTGAGTGGTCATCGAGTCCATTTCCAGATAATCCAATAATCAAGTGTCTGCAGCAGAGCTGAAGTGATACAACACACCTTTCGTTCGAATTATTTATGTGGTTTCTTAGAAATTTGGTTTAAAATAATCATATTGACAGCTCTACCTGCGACGCTCCCAGCTGCTCAACAACTAGCACCAGCAGCTCAAACTGATCCGTTGAGCCATGTCCTGCATCAGTATCAAACTGTTGCTGCTGCTACGAATCCTTCGGCAGCAGCTGCAACTCAGTATTTTTATCAACCGCTTGCGACTTTGTTACCATATGGTGAGTGTTTACAATGATCTCCTTTTTTGAAAGTTATGTCGGCTGCAAAGTTCTACACTAGCACTTGAGAAAAATACTGCTTGAAGAAACATATAACAAGCAGCAGACACATCTTATATTTCCAACAACAATTCAGTCGTGCAAAAGCACAACTTAGATTCATTTACTGAGTAGGAAAGAGGGACTAATGATTCAAGAACTCCTAAACTGAGCGGTTTCTGTGAAACTTCACGCAACGAATTCTTCTCCTTATTACGGCGGCGTATGGAAAGGGCTACGAGATTTCTTGAAAACAGTTCTCATGTGCGTCAATCGTTCGTATTTCACTAGTATGTCCCCTATAACACAGCCCAAATCTCTGATAGACACGCCAGTTAGTCTCGGCGCTGGCGCTGCCATCGTTGAAGCGTTCGAAGCCGTTCGAGGCGTCGTGGAACATCTTCTACATTTGCTGCGCACTTTCTGGCTCCTTGAGCAGTACGTCGTTTGCCATCATTGAGAGCTCTCCCTGGTCGCTGAAGGCTATTATTCATGTTACATCATCGTGGGATGTGTCCTTAATTTCGATTTAACTCATTGGCGAATCCATAGTTTGGTTTGAGACACGTAGAGGTACCGAGAAGAAGAATAGGGTAAATGCTAATGTTGGGTATGGCTTGTGTTGACGTGCGCGCAGATAAATTCCTATCATTCGAAGTATCCCCTTGGAATGGCCAGGATATCCGAGCAAAGATACTTGAGACTAGGAGAGGAGGGAAGGTAGAAACGTAAAGGCAGGCGAGGAAAGAACGGACATGAGGACGTTAATCGTTCAGTGTATCTCGGCGAAACTGATAGTAGTAATAGTATAATATTTTTCACCAGTTAGCGTTGCTCGCTACTGCGCGCAGAACTCAGTTCTGCGGCGATATGGGATCGTGGCAAACTCCGCCTATTTTGGTTTGTCCCACCCACTAATAGCGTTTGACCTTTTTCACTCGCCAACCACTACCCGGCTTTTCCCGGTCTCTGGATTGCTCTGAACCAACTCATAAGTTTGATAGCGAACTTTGCTCGCTCTGCTGCATACCCCGTCCACCAGTTAACCACCTTACATTCAGCAACCTATATTCACCTTATTCCTGGTCCCCGGGACATCTCGTACCAAGTTATAGGTTTGATGGTAAACTCGGCCCCTTTTGGTGCATGTTACACCCACCGATAGCATTTGATCTTGTCTTCCTTGCCTCTACCCACTTTTTCGGTCTCCATACTGTCTCTGAACCGAACTATGGAGTTATTGTTCGCTTTTGCTCGGTTCTTGACGGTCTATCGAGCGATTTATAACTTTTGTCGCGAACTCCGCCCACTTCGGGCCTCGTCCGTTGTTAACATTTGATATCCTTCCTTCTCTCTCGTCATATCTGCTGAGAACATTTGAGACATTGCTTCCCTACACCAGTTTTATTTCTTTCTCCTAACCTTGCTATGAATTTTTCATCAAGCATCGCCTTTTTAGGAAAGGCCGTGCCCACCGAAGGTGGGTCTCCCAAATTTGATCTGGCTTACCAATGCACACCTATACCCTTTTTCCCGGTCTCGAGGCTGTTTTGTGACTGAATTTGAAATCATGGTCCTCAGTACCACTCATTTCGACGCACGCCACGCCCACTGTGGGCGGGGCTCCGCTTAGTAATGTATTTTTGTACTTCTCGAGATATGGCCCACCTCATCCCATACCTGACCCCCCAAACGGTTCTTCGGGAAGTAGGAAATTCCTTGACAAACACCGTGACAGAACGACAGACGAAGCGCTTTATATTAATAGGACCTATACAT